TGGCAAGTTGAAACCCAATTTTTCCAGCACCATTTATTAAAGAGGCTATCTTTCCTCCAGTGAGGGTGTTTGGCTCCTTTATTGAAGATGAGGTGGCTGAGTGTGTCTGGCATTGTTTCTGCATCTTCTAATCTGTTCCACTGATCCTCAGGCCTGTTTCTTTTCTAGTACCATGCTGTTTTTATCACAGTAGCTTTGTAGTATAGTTTCAAGTTGGGGGTTGTGATACCCCCTGCCATGTCTCTGTTGCCTGGGATTGCTTTTGCTAATCCGGGTCTCTTCTTGTTCCAAATGAATTTTTGGATTGTTTTCTCAAGGTCCAGGAAGTATGATGCTGGGATTTTAATTGGGATTGCATTGAATCTAATACAAGTTTTAGAAGAATGGCCATTTTTACTATGTTGATCCTTCCTACTCAGGAGCAGGGGATGTCTTTCCATTTTCTGATATCATCTTCGATCTCTCTTTTCAGAGTGCTATAGTTTTCAGAGACGAGGCCTTTGATTTCTTTCATTAGATTGATTCCTTTCATTAGATTGATTCCTAGGCATTTCAATATTTGTATGTTATTGTGAAAGGAATGGTTTGCCCTATTTCTGTCTCAGTGAGTCTGTTGTTCATGTGGAGGAAAGCTATTGATTTTTGTGTGTTGACCTTGTATCCATCTACTCTACTGAATTTGGTTATTAAGTCTAGAAGACTTTTGGTGGAGTTCTTGGGGTCTTCTACATAGAGTATCATGTCATCTGCAAATAATGACAATTTAACTTCTTTCTTTCTCTAGTCTGATTTCCTCGACTAATGTTTTCAAAACTATGTTGAACAAGAGTGGTGACAGTGGATATCCTTGTCTTGTTCCTGATTTTAGTGTGAAGGATTTCAGTTTTTGACCATCTAGTATGATCTTGGCTGTTGGTTTTTCATAAATGGCTTTTATCAGATTGAGGTAGAGACCATCTGTTCTAATTTTTTGTCTGGTTTATCATAAATGCATGTTGGATTTTGTCAAATGCTTTTTCTGCATCTATGGAGATAATCATATATTTTTTGTCCTTGGCTCTATTGATAGAGTGTATTACATTGATTGATTTGCATATGTTAAACCATCCCTGCATCCCTGGGATGAATCCCACTTGATCAGGGTGTATGATCTTCTTGATGATCTTCTGCATTCTATTTGCCAGTACC